CACTACACTAGCATACCAAACTCCCACACAACCCACACCCACACCCATGCTCCACCACCTCCCCCTCACTACACTAGCATACCAAACTCACCCACAACCCACACCCACACCCATGCTCCACCACCTCCCCCTCACTACACTAGCATACCAAACTCACCCACAACCCACACCCACACCCACACCCATGCTCCACCACCTCCCCCTCACTACACTAGCATACCAAACTCCCACACAACCCACACCCACACCCATGCTCCACCACCTCCCCCTCACTACACTAGCATACCAAACTCACACACAACCCACACCCACACCCATGCTTCACCACCTTCCCCTCACCACACTAGCATACCAAACTCCCACACAACCCACACCCACACCCATGCTCCACCACCTCCCCCTCACTACACTAGCATACCAAACTCACACAAATGCCAAATATGTCACATACTCAACCCTTCACCCGGCAGACCACCCACGCTCCTTCTCCCCTTGTTTTGCGTGTGTATTTAATAGTTATATATATACTGAGGGGGGAGACATTTATATTTTTAAGATTATACTCTACATGATGTTCTTAGTATCGTGGAATATACTTTGAATAATATTTCGCCATGTCCACCTTTGGCTACAAATAGCCCTATTTTGATGGTTAAGATACTTGAGAGACATATTGTATTTCTACACATCAAGATAAAGGGCCGTGGAGAATATACAGTATTTGCGTGTGCTAAATGTGGAGAAGTCAAGCAGGTGGTTGTATGCCAAAGTGTATGAACCACTTTAAACGTGGTTCTTTTACTTCCAACCAATATTGTAAACAGGTCCTAATTCAACGTAATGAAAACGCCTTACCTAGAGCTAATCCAACTTTTGCATAAATCTACAAGATATGTAATAAATTATAATTTTAGAAAAGACCTACTTTATTGCACTGTTCACTATGAAAAATTTATTGTCGGCTTGTTGTCTGTATTAGCTAAATAGTAAGTTATGAACGTCGGCAGTAGTTAGTGCTTGTATTGTGGTCTCTTATTGATTGTTCGTATCCCCTGGGTGTTTACTAAACCCGTTCCTGCGTGATGGAATTACCAGAGAGAATGTCGTGTCAAGTTCTGAGAACTGTCATTTATTTAATCCATTTTTTATTGTATTGTATATTCCTTTGTCTATTATTTTTTGTCCATGTTATTTCTTCTACCTTATTCTGTCATTCCTGTTTGAACAAATCCTTATTGTCTGCAACATTAGTATTGGGCGTGATCATCATTTATTTTATACATCGATTGACAACACCTTTCTGCAACTTTTTCATCAATGAGGAGCTGTTGACAGCACTCCTCACTGTTATTTAATTTACTGTCGGGGACGCAGCCTCGCTAGCAGTTGTCTTATTGTCATGGAATGAAACATTGTTTTCAGGGGTCAGATTCACGAATCAGTTATTCAAGCACTTACGAACCTGTCTATCTTTTCTCCATCTTTGGCGGCTTTGTTTACAATTATTAAACAGTTAATGAGCTCCGAAGCACCAGGAGGCTGTTTATAACAATAACAACAGTTGATTGGCAAGTTTTCATGTTTGTAAACTGTTTAATAAATGCTACCCAAGCCGTCAAAGATTGAGGAAAGATGTACACGTTCGTAAGTGCTTGCGAAACTGCTTTGTGAATCCAGGGTTCAGATTTAAAATACCGTGTTCCTATATTTAATACCGAGCTGTATGAATTGATTTTAACCCTTGTGCAAGTTTTCCTTTTAAGAACTTTAATGCTTTATTCTCCAGTTGTTCTGGTACACTATTTTATTTTATTTTACGAAGTGTTTATGAAACTTATTGACAATAAGGTGCTCGGATCCTGCGGCATTGACAGTCGACATGTTGGGTATTTAATTAGACGCTTTATAAACGGCATTATTTTCCGTGTGGAGCAGGTGGAAGGTATATTGAGCGAGTATCATGTCGGCAAAGGTCATACTAGCAGGAGTCACTGTTGGTTCTGGTGTGAAAATCTCGATATGTTGCCAAATGTATCAAGGTTGTGATTTGATGAGTGTTAAGGCTGTTTGATAGGTAAGCTTTTCAAATCCAGCTCGCATAGATCTTGACGATTGTGGTGGTAAGGAAGTCTGTAGGTTGCCGTGGGGGGAAGCATGTGAAGAAAGTAGTAAGTTTGTTGTAGTGTAGTGGCGTCAAGTTGTTACCATGACAACGAACGCGTCACGTGTTCACCCCTCCCCCCCCCCTTACCCCAAAGGCATGGTCAATGGCATGATGCACGCGACGTTAAACCCCCAACATCAATTTCATATTAAACCTGAAACCGGCGAAGGGAGTTTTTCTTTTTTTTAATGCTGGTTCATGACATGGCCTTTGCACTAATTTTCCTGAAAGAAAACTACCAGCTGGTGCAAGGGAACTATGATGGTCGACGTGCCTGATGCATTCCGTTGCTACGAGTAATTAGGAGTACACTAAATTCTGTAACATACAGCTGTTGAAGACTTGCAGTCAGAATTTATTTGACGTAGATTTTTGTAACAGTTTGGTTATAAATACACCAAGTGTGAGGCTCATTCATTGGCGGTGATTTATTTCGCGTTTAACTTTGAAGTTAATTAAAGTTTCTTCAAAGTTTGTTATACATACCCGGTAAATTATAAGGATATGTTTTTAATGAATATATAATACCCTCACCTCTCCCACTAAGTTGCTATTAGAATGGTAGCCTACCAGAAATAAGTTAGTTATTAAAACATAGATACTTAAACGGAACGAGAGAAGAATGAGGGGAAATATGATCACTACATTCAAAGTATTTAAACGGAACGAGAGAAGAATGAGGGGAAATATGATCACAACATTCAAAGTATTGAGAGGAATTACTTAGGAAAACGAGGATAGCCTATTTATTGTGAGGATACACAATGCAATGACAAATGGAAACTGCGGACACACATTACAGGAAATTTCAGCCACATATTTATTCAGGATGTAAAAGAATTTCATCCACAACTACAAGAGAAGATGTGGATGGAGTCACTCAGTCAGCCCCATTCATCCAAGGAGCTGGGTGAATGACTGTTCAAGATAAGCGATATCCCGTAGGTACAGTTCGATAACAAATTCGCGTGCAAAAATTGATGCCATGTATGCGTATGTGATTTCTAATTGGAAACAATACGTCATAGGCTACTTTACTGACCAGACCACATACTAGAAGGTGAAGGGACGACGACGTTTCGGTCCGTCCTGGACCATTCTCAAGTCGATTGTGTCTACGTGTCGAAACGTCGTCGTCCCTTCACCTTCTAGTGTGTGGTCTGGTCAACATACTTTAGCCACGTTATTGTGACTCATCGCCTGCATAGGCTAGTTTATTTTCATAATCTTTGCTTTGACGGGAATAGTTGTGGATACTGTGTGTGTGCAGCCGGCCATCTTGTGAGATGGTGGCACTAGTGCCACTGCCGGCAGCTGCCTCATATATTGCCATCATCGCCTCGTTGAAGTTGGCACCAGGCGTTGCCAGTGTACCGATGGCATCAGCCTTGTCAGCACCTGGTGCTTTAGCTTATACTCTAAATATGTACTTGTACATAACGTGAATAATGTACAGTGCAAATAAATCACATTAACATGTATGAATGAGAAAATCAGTGGTGGGGAATATATCCAGTGTGCTGTAACATGATGTATGAATGAGAAAATCAGTGGTGGGGAATATATCCAGTGTGCTGTAACATGATGTATGAATGAGAATCAGTGGTGGGGAATATATCCAGTGTGCTGTAACATGATGTATGAATGAGAATCAGTGGTGGGGAATATATCCAGTGTGCTGTAACATGATGTATGAATGAGAAAATCAGTGGTGGGGAATATATCCAGTGTGCTGTAACATGTATGAATGAGAATCAGTGGTGGGGAATATATCCAGTGTGCTGTAACATGTATGAATGAGAATCAGTGGTGGGGAATATATCCAGTGTGCTGTAACATGATGTATGAATGAGAAAATCAGTGGTGGGGAATATATCCAGTGTGCTGTAACATGTATGAATGAGAATCAGTGGTGGGGAATATATCCAGTGTGCTGTAACATGATGTATGAATGAGAAAATCAGTGTTGGGGAATATATCCAGTGTGGTGGTTCGTATCCTCCTGGCAACTGCTGATTTTCTCGTGAATAACCAACTTGCATGTTGGTGCAAATCCTTCAGCAGCTAATAATGCTGTTCAAACTGTGACTACTTGTTTATCAAATAAAAGCAATAACTGGGACAGTGGGTGTTTTAATATTTTATGGATGAGTTATGCTGTGGAGGATTGAGTATTGGGTGCTGGTGCAGTATGATGTCTGCTCTTTATTGTAAGGCAAACATGTATTAAGATTATATCCTATAGTATATAATATTGCAGTCAAACATGTTTAAGATGCTTTTGATATCCCCTTTGTCATGAGGAAATTGACTTAGTTTCACTAGTTTCTCTATCTGCTCCCTCACCCTGTCAGAGTAAAAGAGAGAAATGTATGTGTGTGTGTATATATATGTATATATGTGTGTGTCTGTATGTGTATAAAGCATATGTGGAAGCTAATCAGAATTACATTTCACCTTTGTAAATGCACATTAATGACACTATGTAAAAGACACATCAAACACTTCATGTAGCATACATAAATCTGTCTCTAAGTATGTAGCTTAGCCTAGCATTTTAAAAGCACTACAATCACCTTCTGTGGTTGTTCAATTAATCCCTGAACTGTGTGTTTGACAAATGTCTCACCCTGTCCATGGAAGACAGAAGAAATTGTATATATACTGATTAGCATTGTAAATGTGTGGTCACGTCTGTGGTAGAAAATAATAATAATAAAAAATAAGTTTAATGCAACAGTTAAATCTAGTTGGGCTGTATTTGTGACATTAGGCTAGCAAAATAATTTATTACTAGCGAGCGCATTTCCACTTAAATTTGTTTTTTTTCTTAAAGATTGTGAGGAGGACAGCTGTGACACTACCACTACCACCACTATAAAGTTTTGAAGAGCACCAACTTCTGAACCATATCCCGGGAGTGGCATAAAGTACCAATTCAGTCAAAAGGAGTCGAAGAGCAGCAGCCGCATCGGTGCCAAGTGATAGCCGGGCAGGACCCAGCATTTAACGGGTGAGTGTTCGTTGGTGATGTACTGAATAGTTTGTGCAATTACCTAAGTGTAAGTTACAGGATGAGAGCTACGCTCGTGGTGTCCCGTCTTCCCAGCACTCTTTGTCATTGTGTGTGCACAATCCTAGCACAAGGGTGGATTGCTGAAAAGCTTCAAGTTTTTCTTTGGTATATTAATTTAGTTTCCTATAAACCATTTCTAAGTGATGCAAGATACTGCCTTCAGCATTATTATGATAATTAAATGTCTATTAACAAAAAGGGGAATCACGATTTATATCTCCTGCCTGTTATCCTAGTTCAGTAAAGGGTTGAACTACGGTGAACTAGGTTATAGTGCAACCCGTCCTCGACTCAAGTCCATTACATCCAGCGGTCGACCCCACAGACGCATTCATAAATTTTAACATGCTGTTCATTCAAAATGGGAATTTTCTCAAGTATAAATTAATATTATAATGGTATATTGTGTATATATAGGCATATGATAGATTAGGTGTTTAGGTTCTGTTGGCGATTATTTGTATTTGTAGTACGTGGGTGAAGCATTTAAAGCGTTGTGATTCGAACAAAATTCGTCAGTGAAGCACTTGTTCCGGATATGTTCGAACGTCAGCAGTTGTGAGTCATGTGTAAACCGCTTTTCATTCATAAATAGCTGGTTTGGAGGGTGCATGGAATCACTTTTGGATCTTTGTTTGAAGGACGGGCTGTATAATGTGAGTGGGGGGGGGGGGGAGAACAACGCGCCGTAGTATCGAACTCTCTCCTCGTTTCGCGAGCAATTTTGACCAGGTTCCAGTCGTGAAAGGTTGACTGGACACCAGTCTTTTTGTTGATCATCTCTGTTCAATCTACAGAAATAGAGGATCTGGATGTATATCCATTGACTGGTCGCGTTTCAGAAAAAAAAACACAAGAGCTATAGGAACGGAAAGCGCTTAAGCCTGCTAACAGGAGTCAGAAGTTCGTCTACTCCCGTACTCACCAGTGTGTGTGTGTGTGTGGGGGGGGGGGGGGGTGCAGGCCTGCCTACAGAACTATACTTGCACTGTAAATAGAATTTTGTATTGTGAGGACAGGTTGCTGTAAAGAACGTAACTATTGTAGGAGCGGAACTCTGGCTATAAAGATGTCGATGGAAAACCAAATTTTCAAGAAGTGTCCAGTTGTTACGCTATATAGAGTTCTTGGGTCAACACTTGTAGTAATAGGTTTACTCGGCAAGTTTCTGCAGAGACAAACCTGGAGCATTCACAAGGAAACGAAAACTAATAAGTACTCTCCTAGTGTGACCAACTACTTGGGCTGGACGGTAGAGCGACGGTCTCTCTCCATGCAGGTCGGCGTTCAATCCCCGACCGTCCAAGTGGTTGGACACCATTTCCCCCCCCAATCCCAAATCCTTAGCCTGCCCCCTTCCAAGTTCTGTATAGTCGTAATGGCTTGTTGCTTTCCCCCCTGATAATTCCCTCCCTCACCTAGTTGTGCTTGTAGGGGTTGAGCTTTGGCTCTTTGGTTCCGCCTCTCAACCGTCAATCTACTGGTGTATAGATTCCTGAGTTTCTCAAGCTCCATATAAGTGAGCTGGAAATAGTTAATTGGAGCTGAATACAGTACTATTAACGTTTGGTGCAATAGCTGTTTATCTGTACTACAGAGAATACAGTTACGGGGCAGGTTGAAGACAGCTTATTAATTGAAAATCTGTTGTATTCCATACATATTTGTAACTAATGGTTTTAAGCAAAAAAATATATAAATTTTGTTTTATTTCCAATACACGAAGAGGGTAAGATGCTCTCAAGGATAAACATTCGAGGGTCGCAGAAATGCGGTGGTACAAACTACTGGGACACTGAGAGGAGGATGCTTGACCGTCTTGGCTTACAGAATGTTTGTGGTCCCATTACCTTGCATTGTATCGCTTGCAATTGGCCTATAAAGAGCGAATAATAGCTAGGGTTGAATTGGCTGGACAAGGCAGTGAATTGACCATGAATGCCTCCAAAATGACAGCTGGGCAAAGTGGTGGGGGTAGTTAGTCCTCTAGCGACCGACCGTCAAGCCAAGGAAGACGCCTGGGAATGTTTATGTCCTCTTTTCAGTTTGTTGATGGCCACTATACACTAAGAACGGTCCAGTTTGTTGCATGTACGTGTTTCTTGGTGGGTGACTTGGTGTGATCAAGAGACTTTTAAAGGCTATTCTTCCTTGGTATGGTTCAGCAGAATGATCTTCGGAAGCTGAGCAGTGGAAGGAAATGTAACAAAGTTTGAGTCATTATCATCAGGGAGCCGGTCGGCCGAGCGGACAGCATGCTGGACTTGTGATCCTGGGTTCGATCCCAGGCGCCGGCGAGAAACAATGGGCAGAGTTTCTTTCACCCTATGCCCCTGTTACCTAGCAGTAAAATAGGTACCTGGGTGTTAGTCAGCTGTAACGGGCTGCTTCCTGGGGGTGGAGGCCTGGTCGAGGACCGGGCCGCGGGGACACTAAAAAGCCCCGAAATCGTCTCAAGATAACCTCAAAAGATCATTTTCAAGCAATAAATTGACTTTGGAGACAATCATGTACATCACTTTTGATGTTTGCTTCAAGAACCTTCTAAATGTTACAAATAATTATAATGAATGAAAATGTGTCATAATTGGAATTTACAGGTTCATTAGGTGATTTAATATTTTGAGAAAGGGTCAGGACTAGAATTAATGCACCCGAACACACATTATGCAGTGTTCAAGAACAAAGATACACGGATCAAGCCGATGTCTTAAAGATGTGAACTTGCAGACGGTTTGGCCTAAATCTTGAAAGACGTGCTTTAATAATTACAATCACAGCTCTCATAATATACGAAGACTCGTATATTGCAACCCCCCCCCCATTTCTAGTTGTGCGGCTAACTCACGAAAGCCGTTTTATATTAGTTGAAATATTCTCAAAATACTAGGTTCAGAACCTCATCAAAAATGTTCTAGTGTGCCGGATTTAATTAAAGATATTGCATTTTTTTTTAATTAAATAGAAAACTTAAAAAAGAAATAGTACTCTGGAGGCAAGGTAGAGTTTGATATTATAAATTCCATCACACCAACCATCTATCATCACCGCACCAATTATTTGATGACACTAAATTCTAAGCCTTTGTCGAGGGAGTACAGGCCTAATTGCTGGACATGTTAGGTCAGCTGCTTTCTCCACTCCATTCCTGGGGCCAGATTCACAAAGCGGTTACGCAAGCACTTGCGAATCTGTACATCATCTTCTCTCAATCTTTGGTGGCTTTGTTTCCAATTATTAAACAGTTAATGAGCTCCGAAGCACCAGGAGGCTGTTTATAACAATAACAACAGTTGATTGGCAAGTTTTCATGCTTTTAACTGTTTAATAAATGTAACCAAAGCCGTCAAACATTGAGGAAAGATGTACACGTTCGTAAGTGCTTGCGTAACTGCTTCGTGAAACTGGCCCCTGGTGCTTCGTTGCTAATATAAATCACATTTGTGTATTTGTTAAGAGGACATCATGATCCGTTCAATTTCCCCATTTGAGTAGAGGCATCCACCTGAAAAAGAATTAAGGATTTTAATAAGAATGTCTTAACAGAAAACGAGGAGAATAAATGGGGCGGTAAATGCAACAGCCCCATAAGTGCAATTATGTACTATGTATAACCGTAAAGAAATGTACTTTTTTTCATTTAGAATTAAACCGTACTGTCAATTCGGAGGATGGGTTGCCCCGGCAGCACACCTTACCGAATTTCGGCAAGTTTTTTGCACAGGATGGATATACAAACAAAATTCTCGTATACAAGAAAATTACCAATTTTGTCCATATATATATAATCATATAAACACATCATAAATAATGAAAATAGCTTATTTTCATTCCAAATGTAGCATAGTATTTTATAATAAATTTACGAAACTAATGTGGTAAATGAAGGATTTTGACACAGTGGATCAATAGAACTGTTCTAGAGGATGGAACACATCCATGCACAAAGGGCTATGTAACCCCCCCACACACACACTATGTACTGGGTTACTGGAGCATGCTATTAAGGGAAAGGAGGGGGAGGGGGAAGTGGCGAAAATAATTTAAAACATTGGCTTTCGTTTAGACAGGTTGCCTGGATCATACAGTATATTGAGACAGTTGATACACTGGCTTTTGTTTAGACAGGTTGCCTGGATCATATATTGAGACAGTTGATACATTGGCTTTTGTTTAGACAGGTGGCGTGGATCATATATTGAGACAGTTGATACATTGGCTCTTGTTTAGACAGGTTGCCTGGATCATATATTGAGACAGTTGATACATTGGCTTTCGTTTAGACAGGTTGCCTGGATCATATATTGAGACAGTTGATACATTGGCTTTCGTTTAGACAGGTAGCGTGGATCATATATTGAGACAGTTGATACATTGGCTTTCGTTTAGACAGGTGGCCTGGATCATATATTGAGACAGTTGATACATTGGCTTTTGTTTAGACAGGTTGCCTGGATCATATATTGAGACAGTTGATACATTGGCTCTTGTTTAGACAGGTTGCCTGGATCATATATTGAGACAGTTGATACATTGGCTTTCGTTTAGACAGGTTGCCTGGATCATATATTGACAGTTGAGAAGGCAGGCGATAGTCACTTGCCCAGTGATCTTTATGATCGGCAGGGAGAATATAATGGAGTAAGGAAATATAAACAATTGTTTACTACACGTTTACGAAGAGAGAGATGTAGTGAAGGTTCGAATCCTCGTCACGGCCCTTGTGTATTTGTTCATGTAGTGTAAGGTTATAAGGAGGATTCAGAACATGCATAAGAGATACTGGTATATTGGTTGAGTTATCAAGGAACTGAGGAGGAGGAGGAGGGATGTAGCTTTAATATCTAAGACTGAGGAGTGTGTGAAGCAAATAAGCTAAGGCAGGAATTTGTTTGGTCAAGTATAAGGTCGGTAGAGAGAGGTCAAGTATAAGGTCA